GGTAGCATTATGTCCAGCTAGCATGCTAATTGCTAACGTTATATTATCGTTTTATCCCGGAGGGGAAAACTAGTTTCTAATCCTGAGAGAAACACCTCGCCTGAAACACACGATTAGTGCCATGAGTTAGTGAAGCAAATTACAGAACATTGCACACTTATTCACAAGTCAAAACGTGTTCATAGCGGGCACGGCTGAGAATAGCTAGCTAGCTAGATGTTGTTAGCCAGCTTGGACCTATGATAGCAAGTTCTAGCATGGCTAGCTCGATCTACTGAGCAAATAAAAGTACATCTAAGACCAGTATTGTGCAGATTAAAACAGTGCAGTGCATGTATTTTATTTTACCTTCGTAGTCATCCCGACATGACTTTGCCAGGTCTGCTAACTTTGCTGAGCCACGGAAACTGCATTCAGTAGAAGCTTCTGAATGCGGCGCTTCGCGTCCTCCGAGTAAATCGCCAGAAGCGCCGACACATCCTCATCACTCCACCGCTCCGATGATTTATTTAGTGTTGCTATAATAACAAAATCTCTTCGGGTGCGCTGCCCGAAGCGAGCAAATACAATGGCGGCCTTCAAAAAAGATTCTAGAGATTCACGGGGCGTTGTTTGCATTCCGCACAGCCAGTATGAACTATTTTCTCCCACGACAGTCCCTGCTCTCTAGCAGGGACTGAAAAGCGGGTGAGATGAACTAATTTGAACTACTTTAGTTCCTGGGGCTTTTTGGTGTGAACGCAAATATATCGTAGTTCTGATGAACTATTGTGGGAAAAGTACTCCGGTGTGAACGCGCCTATTGGACTCCAGTCGGCACGGGCTGTAGGGTCATCTTGACTAGTTTTATGGATGTGGTCTCCATTTGACCATGCTCATAGAAACAAAGCTTGCATTCCTGAGGCAATTCTCATTTTTCATGGCTCCACTTAAAATAAAAACAACAATAAGACATAAGTGCTACTCTTGGCCCACAGAGGGCTATGTATTTCCAGCTCATCCCTATCGGTCTCTCTGTCTGTGTCTGTGCACTCATGGAGCCTCCTGCATCTTTTCCCCCCTTCTTCTAAAAATTTTGCTTTTTTCAAAAAATCTAAAAATTTGGACTTTTTCCTCAAAATTCGGACTTGTTCTCTCTCTTTTCCTCCGTAACCACATCTCTAAAAACGGGGGAACAACGGAGCTGATCCAGATTTGCTGCGTCATGACGACATTACTAAAATGTCGGCGGGCTTTAAATCCACGGGTCAATCAGAAACGTTGCTGTCAAAAACAATGAAGTAATATGGTTTTTGTTTACATTAGCATCGCTAACACTCAGAGCTAACCTGTACTGGAGAGAGCATGTGTGAAGAAGCAGGAAATCAAAAGGAACTCACCTTGTGGTAAACCTGAGAGAGAGAAAGAGTTTGAGCTCCATACTGTTTCAGAGAGAATCCTTGATGTGGTTTGGAACATGATATGGAGTTTCATCACGGCAGCATTTAGCTGAGTTTCTGCTGGGAGAGTTCTCCTGATGAGATCTACTCTCTCTCTGAAGCTACTGACCCAGAGTCAGCTCTTTAGTAACAGCTGGAAGAGAGGGGGGGGGGGGGGGGGGGGGGGGGGCTACAAGGATCTGTTTGGGGTTTGGAGCAGAACACTTCAGAGACATGTCCTTAGTAACAGCTGGAAGAGAGAGGGGGGGGGGGGGCTACAAGGATCTGTTTGGGGTTTGGAGCAGGACACTTCAGAGACATGTCCTTAGTAACAGCTGGAAGAGAGGGGGGGGGCTACAAGGATCTGTTTGGGGTTTGAAGCAGGACACTTCAGAGACATGTCCTTAGTAACAGCTGGAAGAGAGGGGGGGGGCTACAAGGATCTGTTTGGGGTTTGGAGCAGGACACTTCAGAGACATGTCCTTAGTAACAGCTGGAAGAGAGGGGGGGGGGGCTACAAGGATCTGTTTGGGGTTTGGAGCAGGACACTTCAGAGACATGTCCTTAGTAACAGCTGGAAGAGAGAGGGGGGGGGGGCTACAAGGATCTGTTTGGGGTTTGGAGCAGAACACTTCAGAGACATGTCCTTAGTAACAGCTGGAAGAGAGAGGGGGGGGCTACAAGGATCTGTTTGGGGTTTGGAGCAGGACACTTCAGAGACATGTCCTTAGTAACAGCTGGAAGAGAGAGGGGGGGGCTACAAGGGTCTGTTTGGGGTTTGGAGCAGAACACTTCAGAGACATGTCCTTAGTAACAGCTGGAAGAGAGAGGGGGGGGGCTACAAGGATCTGTTTGGGGTTTGGAGCAGGACACTTCAGAGACATGTCCTTAGTAACAGCTGGAAGAGAGGGGGGGGCTACAAGGATCTGTTTGGGGTTTGGAGCAGGACACTTCAGAGACATGTCCTTAGTAACATTTGGGAGAGAGGGGGGGGGGGGGCTACAAGGATCTGTTTGGGGTTTGGAGCAGGACACTTCAGAGACATGTCCTTAGTAACAGCTGGAAGAGAGAGGGGGGGGGGCTACAAGGATCTGTTTGGGGTTTGGAGCAGGACACTTCAGAGACATGTCCTTAGTAACAGCTGGAAGAGAGAGGGGGGGGGGCTACAAGGATCTGTTTGGGGTTTGGAGCAGGACACTTCAGAGACATGTCCTTAGTAACAGCTGGAAGAGAGGGGGGGGGGGGCTACAAGGATCTGTTTGGGGTTTGGAGCAGGACACTTCAGAGACATGTCCTTAGTAACAGCTGGAAGAGAGAGGGGGGTGGGCTACAAGGATCTGTTTGGGGTTTGGAGCAGGACACTTCAGAGACATGTCCTTAGTAACAGCTGGAAGAGAGAGGGGGGGGGCTACAATGATCTGTTTGGGGTTTGGAGCAGGACACTTCAGAGACATGTCCTTAGTAACAGCTGGAAGAGAGAGGGGGGGGGGGCTACAAGGATCTGTTTGGGGTTTGGAGCAGGACACTTCAGAGACATGTCCTTAGTAACAGCTGGAAGAGAGGGGGGGGGGGCTACAAGGATCTGTTTGGGGTTTGGAGCAGGACACTTCAGAGACATGTTTTTATTAGGGCTGTCAAGTTAACGCGTTAATAACGCGTTAACGCAAAAAAAAATTAACGCCACTAATTATTTTAACGCGATTAACGCATGTGTATTTTTTGTCCTCGGCCGCCCCGTAGTTTCAGAGCGCATCGAGTTTAAAATACCATCTACGTGCTGATGCTGACAGCCCTGCTCCTGCCGCCCGCTTGTGGCAGACCACACTTCCACGCTCACCGGCAGGCCCGGACTGGCCATCGGGAGGACCGGGAGGGAGTGTGTATGTGTGGCGCGACTCGTGCGAGCGAGGCACACCTTACGTGTTGTTGTTGTTAGCATCTGGTGCTAGCTAGCTGCGCTAACGGATATAAGGAGCTGTTTCAATGACATTTCGCCGACAACTGCGCCGAGCACTTGACTTTATGCAGGTAGCCAGACAGTGGGACATTGTACGAAAAGTCAGCGCACTCAGCACGGATAGTACGCGCTACATGATTGCAGCGTCCAGGCAGCACACGTTCGAGCATATATGCCTTGAGCGGCACATAGCTCCAATGTATGAGGTGTGAACACACACACACACACACACACACACACACACACACACAGTATTATTGTATGAGAGAGGTTCCAGGTTGAATTGAAGCGAATATTTGTAATGTTCAGGTTGTTGTGTTTAATATTCATGAGAATATTTGTCATTGTTCAAATGATAATAAACAAACATATAAAGCATATTTGTCCACTCATATGTTGATAAGAGTATTAAAAACTTGAAAAATATCCCTCTAAGGTACATTTAGAACAGATAAAAAATGTGCGATTAATTTGCGATTAATCGCGATTAACTATGGACAATCATGCGATTAATCGCGATTAAATATTTTAATCGACTGACAGCCCTAGTTTTTATATATCTGAGACCTGTGATATATGCCTAAAAAAAGTAAAATAGGAGACCTTTAATGTATTGACCTCATGCTTCGCCGGCCATAGAGCATTTCCACATACATGTTGTATATTGTCTTCTGGTTAGAGACAAATCCATATCACCAGCTTTATCAACCTTTACTTACCTTTAAGCCTTTGAATGAAACGTTATTAAGTTATAACAGAACCTGGAGGGTAGGCGTGGAGAGCTGTGGACCATGTTGACTTACATTGATCTGTTGACTCTAGTATATCTAGTATATTCGTCAAACAACACCCACCCCCACACACACACACACACACACACACACACACACACACACACACACACACACACACACACACACACACACACACACACACACACCAGAGTTCCCGTTAGAATATTTTTTTGCCAGTCAAAATGTCCGTTAAAGTTGAAATCTTCCGGACAAAATTAGAAAAGTGCCGGTCAAAGGTCGTCTTTGTTATTTATTGAGCTTTAAAACAAATTGATATGATTCGATATTAAACAAACTAATTATCGTAGATCGATCACATCTAGCTAGTTCTAGCTAATGATATGACTACCTGCTTATTAAAAGACACCTAAACAATAAGCGTCACTATGCAACCGGGTGAGGCCACAAAGTATAGCGCAGCATTATGCATTTGTTTACATGCCCACCGGAACTCCGAGGCATTACCAACAGATCAACGCACAATCAACCCATACAGGACATCTCTTTCTCCACATTAAGTGTTAGAAATTAGAATTGACTCTTCTTGTCTGTCACATACTCTTTTGTCTGTCACATACTATTCTTGTCTTTCACATAAGTGGCGCAACTGATGCGGTATTGTGCTAACTAAGGGGAAATTATTTTGACCGGACATTTTGACCGGAGAGATTTAGATTTGCCGGTCTTCAGCATATTTTACCGGTCAAAGTCCGGTAATTACGGCTAACGGGAACTCTGACACACACGCATAGTAAATACATTATTTATCATGTGTTATTATTATATTTATCATTTTCGGTGCGTTGAACTTTTTAAAATGTATTTGTTTAGCGGCGACGAGCAAACAAACTGACTCAGGAGCAGTGACCAAGAAGAAGAAACCTGCAGCTGGTAAACACACACACACACACACACACACACACACACACACACACACACACACACACACACACACACACACACACACACACATACATATTATTTATCATATATTATTATTATTATTTGATCATTTTCAACGAAATGGACCAGGAAGATTTCTAAAGTTGTTTTTTTTAGTCTCGTGTTTGTTCAGAGGTTTCCGGCGGCAGCGGTGAAACCCCCGTCAGGAATGACTCACCCTGAGCCCACAGGTAGAAAATGTGCTCGGACTGGTTTGTTTTTCTGTCAGCACAACAAGGGAAAAACACCCAGCCTGATTATCAAGAATGAATGGCTTCCTTGTTTGACACTTCAGCCATCCTGGCTGAAGTGTCAAACAAGGAAGCCATTCATTGTTGGAGTATTTAACAATCAATGGGCAGATCCACTATGTTTGCCAAAGTGCTGCATTCAAGAGGTACAACAGGAAAACCCGATGGTGGTTTACTCATGGACTCAAGTACTGTACTTAGTAGGGGTGGGAATCAACAGGCTCCCCACGATATGATACTATCGCGATACTTAAGCCACGATACGATAGTATTGCGATTCTACGATATGCTAAGTATTGCGGTGCGATATATTGCGATATTGCAGATCACATGGGTCATGTCCATGTCCGTCTTCCCTTCCTGGTTAAAACATGTATTTGCAATATGAATAGTTTATGTAAATAACCCAATGTGTGTTCTTTGAACCTGAAAAGGACATGGCATTGTTTTTGTTACTTTCATTGCGATTGTATACATGTCTTAACTTCCTGTTTTATATAAACATGCTTTTATTTTGAAGGCGACTTTGCGCTATTAGCAGAAAGTTCAGCTAAATAACCAACCAATCCAGCTTTATAATCCTGAACGTCACCAAGCGCTCCAGTCCCAGCTGTGTGCGTCACTCTTTAGTGTCCCCTGGTCTCCCAGCTGTGTTCGTCACTTTTTAGTGTCCCCTGGTCTCCCAGCTGTGTTCGTCACTCTTTAGTGTCCCCTGGTCTCACAGCTGTGTGCGTCACTTTTTAGTGTCCCCTGGTCTCCCAGCTGTGTGCGTCACTTTTTAGTGTCCCCTGGTCTCCCAGCTGTGTGCGTCACTCTTTAGTGTCCCGTGGTCTCCCAGCTGTGTTCGTCACTTTTTAGTGTCCCCTGGTCTCCCAGCTGTGTGCGTCACTTTTTAGTGTCCCCTGGTCTCCCAGCTGTGTGCGTCACTTTTTAGTGTCCCCTGGTCTCCCAGCTGTGTGCGTCACTCTTTCATATTCGGACTTTTCCTCAACATTCTGACTTTTTCCAAAAAATTCTGACTTTTCCCCTGGAAAACACTGTTAAACAAACATTGCATTTTGTATATGATATATGTTATAATTTGCTTAGTTATTCAACCTTCGACACAGTTCATCATTTTCTCTTCTCACTGTCTCCTTTCCCACGGCATAGGTCTACGGCCTTGGGTATTGCTGCTATCTCTCTTAAGGAGGGGCAGCTTGGGCGCATTGTTGTTGCCAGTCTGACAGAGCATAAGCCGCCATGAGGTAGTTTACTGTTCAGGGACGAAAGTTCCCTGGCGCACATTCTTTTCTATGGACGAGAGCTCTAGTTAGATTCAGGGTCCATAATTGTTTAGTCTCACTGATGAAGAATGTTGATTATTACACTCCGAACTAGTTAAAACCTCGAGCTGCAGAAAGAGTTCTTCAGAATTGGTTTGGCAACCGCTGTGTCAACTCGTGACACACCACCTGTCTTGTCAATTCTCCGGCCGTAACTCCAAATAAACCGTCAGTGTTTGCCATCAAAGCTCCAGCTCTCCTCGTGCCTCTCCTGACTCCACTTGCTTCAGAAGTTTCCACCACAATATATATGATACACATAACGCTTCCGTTCACATAACAGTACATGTTTCCGTAAACATTTGCACACATTACATTACATTACATCTCACTTGTTAGACACTTTTATCCAAAGCGACTTACATATTCAATACTGTGGGCAATCCCCACAGGAGCAATTTGGGTGAAGTTTCTTGCCCAGGGACACAACGACATGCTGACTGCAGTGGGGTTTGAACGTATGTGTAAAGAAGCAGAATATAAAAGGAACTCACCTAGTGGTATAACCCGAGAGAGAAAAAGAGTTTGAGCTCCATACTGTTTCAGAAATCATGCTTGATGTGGTTTGGAACATGATATTACGTTTAATCACGGCAGCGTTTAGCAGCCTTCTCTTCAGAGAGCTCACTGCTTGCATGTTCCAAAGGGGCGTGGCCAGCAGCAGCTCCAAAGGGGCGTGGCCAGCAGCAGCTCCAATGGGGCGTGGCCTGCAGCAGCTCGGTTACATTTAAAGGGCCAGAATCAACACATTAGTAACAGGGCTGAAATAGAGGGGGATGAGGCTAGAATGGGTGATCTGTTTGGTATTTTGAGCAAAACACTTCAGAGACATGTTTTGTATAGAAATGGGCCTATAATATATTGTTAAAATATAGCATAATAGGTGAGCTTTAACTCCTTTAACCGTAATTAAGGCCTTATTTTAGACCAATGGGATCAATGCTGTTGAACATCTCTGAGGATCTCCTAAAAAGGGATCATGTTCAGGTGATATGAATATTTAGAGCCTCTACTTTCACAGGGACCAAACCTGCAGCTGACTCAGGAGCAGCGACTGAGAAGAAAGAACCTGCAGCTGGTACACACACACACACACACACACACACACACACACACACACACACACACACACACACACACACACACACACACACACACACACACACACACACACACACACACACACACACACACACACACATAAATACTAAAAAGGAAATTAACTTCGATACAACCAACGTTAATATCTAGGTGGTGTCCGATACCGAGCTCCGGTGCTGATAAGGCTCCGGAAAACGGCCGTCCAATCTTTTTAGGACTAAACAAGATCACCGTAATCTGCTTAGGGGGGCGCTTACAGCGTGGCCTCTAACACCAGCTGCCCGTCGTATCACTTATTTCAGGCACTAAAGCGTTAGATGTCCGACCACCAGGATAGCAAAACGGAGTGTGTAGTGTAGTAGGTGTTGGTGGGCTGATAGAACCCCAGAGCAGTATCTAAACTGCCCCTGGAGGAGAAACCCTGTGTCGTTGGGCGACTCCCTGGTAATTAGGGCAGCTTCAGGACCCACAATCCCTAACCCCCACTTTTGATCCCCAGTTATACCAATTAAAACAATGCAAGTGTAATATCCAACATAGGCAGAGTCAAACATTAATATCACAGCAGTGATATCACCACATCAGCAGATTATATGTCATATTTCAGCATCAATCAAAACCACATCAACCACAGTAACCAATGTGAAACTACAGTTTAACCTTAGTAGAGTTTCTATTCCCCTTAAACAATTTCAAATCCAAATTATCAACTAATGTAAGCCTTTTCCAAGGAAGGGTGTTCTTACCTCACTCTAAGACCATGCAAATACCTTCAGAGACCACCACAGAGACCATTGGGTCGAAATGTACAAAGTACAAACCGGTTTTATTAAGTTTTTAACAAAATAGTGGAGAACAAGAATCCAAAAAATAACAAAAGAAAGATACAAAATGGTTTTAGAAGGACTCAAGGTCAAAGTACAAAAGCAACAGGTTCACAAGTGAAGCCCTAGAGCCGTCTAAAAGAGCCCAAGCCCAGGCCCACCCTTATGAAACAAAAATATATTGTAATATATTGGTAAATATAATACAATATACTGGATCATACATTTCCATATATGGGAAAGTAGTCCTTATATTTTTAAATATATTGCAATATATGCATGGACCATGTATGGCTCTATATTGATACATATAAAAAAAAAATATTGCAATGAAAACAAAAACTGCACTATACATTTATATGTAATAGTTTTATTGAAACACTCATTTATCTTTCATGAGTTACACAAGTTCACATAAAATTGAACAGATATTCATAAACAGTTATCTCACTTCGTTTTGTATAGTTACCCACTTTATATATGAACATATGTTTGATGGTAGCCTATATATTAAAAAAGTACAAATTGTCCATTGAATGATGGAAAATAATATACAGTTTATAAATATATATAGACACACACATATATGCACGCATATATATATGCATATATGCACGCATATATATATGCATATATATAAATATGCATATATATATTCACATATATATATATATGCATATATGCACGCATATATATATGCATATATGCACGCATATATATATGCATATATATATACACATATATATAAATATGCATATATATATATATATATATATATGCATATATGCACGCATATATATATGCATATATTACGGCCGACCGGCTATTTGGAGTGGAATGCAGCCCATCCACGGCAGACAGCCCAAACAGTATTCGAATGCGCCACTTCCGGCTGACAGTGGCTGACCTCCGTCTTCGCTAAACATAACTCTCTAAAACGTGTTAACGTTCTCATTGGACACATTACGTGCCAGTGATCATCACCAATCAATCTCACAGATTTCGGGGAGGCCCCCCCCCTCTCCAGCAATAGATTGATCTGATTGGCAGATTCAAATCTGCGTTGCTGCCTCTGTCTGTTGATTCTTTCGCTGAGTGTCAAAGAGAAAGCATTCATCAGGTGCTTCGAAACGGAAAATTAAAAAGAAACGAGAGGAAAATACAGCACGAGAGTCAGGTATGTGTGTGAGCATTTAAAACTATTTTAAATTGAAATAATTCTCCATGTACACTACAAGTAGTCTAGTTGCTTAATCCGTATGTCCCGTCTCTTGGCACTACAACAGCTACATTAGCTAACGTTAGTTAAATTACCTATGTTAGTTCCCTCGTGTATGAGTGTATAACCGGTCCGCAGCTTTGTGAACATTCAATTTCGAAGATTTTCGATGTTACAGTCAACTGAAGTCGACCCAAAACAGCCAAAAATAGCGGACCTTTAGATCGCT